GTAAAAAGGATAAGTGATAAAGAAGGGATCAAGTGTAGGGATGCCACAAAGGATCAGTGAGGAGTGAGTTGAGGAATGAATTGAAAGGTGAATTGAATTGAGTTGCAAGCATGAGTGAGAACTATCTAGAGGTGGGAAGAAGGGGGTTCATATACCTGGATGGGTGGCAAGCTGACAAATGCAAACTGACAAATGGAAGCTGACAAATGGGTGCTGACAAATGGATACTAACACAAGTATAAAGACTGGTAGGGTTGTTGTTGGCTGCAAGCCATGTCAGGATGACAACAGACTGCTGGCTCCTGGAATGTTCTAGATGCATTGGTATTTGAATATACTGCTCATACTGAGTATACTGATTGTCCTAAGTATACTGCTCATACCGAGTATACTGACTGTACCAAGTATATTGCTTGTGCCGAGTATCACTGACGTGGCCTGACTGCTTGGGTTGCTTGAGTTGCTCAACTGAGAGTGATGATCATACTGAGTATTGCCGACGCGGCTCACTGCTTGGGTTGCTTGAGTTGCTCAACTGAGAGTGATGATCTTACTGAGTATTGCCAACATGGCCCACTGCTCAGGTCAATCAATACTACAATTCCTTGGCTCCTCTTGTATTGTTGCGTAGTCCTGTTGGTTCAGTGTTGTTGCAGGTTGCCCTTTGATCATAACACCCGGTTCAGCACACCCTCTTGTTCCAAAGAAGACAGTGTACCAAGCACTTTGTACACAAGGTTTGCGCAACTTCAGAGCAAAGCACAGGCCAAAAATCAACAGGGCTACAGCTCTTTAAATACTCCAGAGATTGGTGCGGATTTAACTATAAGAAGAGGGTCATAAAGTTCAGTGATGAATGCAGCATTGCCCAGGGTTCTGATGTCAACCAGGAGTGGAGTTTCCAACACCCAGGTGAGAAATATCACTACAACAAAGTCCATGAAACAAAGAATGGGAGGCCCAAACAACAGATGGTTTTGTTGAGGTCGTGTCTTAAGCAAAGCTTGTAGGCACTAGTTGGGTTGGTGCTCAGGGATAAGTGTAGCATTAAGGAACAAGGGGTTGATCACTTAAGCAAAGCTCAGAGTGATCAAGGTTAGACGTCTAGTCAAGGACCATGGCATCTGGGTGCAATGAGTAGTATAGAGTAGACTATCTAGCTTGAGTACAGGTGAGATTCCAATAACAAAGTTGATTGACAAGGTTGAACACAAACCACAAGGGTTGTGTTCCTACATGCTATGTACTTGAATGATTGTACAGAGTCCTACAGTATCCTACTGTCTTATGAGACGTTGTCCAAAAGTCCCATGGGATATGTGAGACTACATGGGAATCCCATGGCTTGCTTGCTTCTGTCCCACAGGATGCTAGACTACTTGTATTGTCCTAGTGTACTCACATGGCCATGGGGTAGCTTGTACAACGGGCAAGGCCTCTCTGACAGCCATTCTCCCTATGTTCAATAACTGTTGTCCCCAGGTCCAATAGTTCCTTTTCTTCTGTACGTGTTCGTAACAGGTTTGGGGTGCAATTTGGGTGACATTGGGAGGGAGAGTTGGGAGGAGTCCTCTAGTCATCATGGAGTGAGATTCTTCTGCCAAACATCAAGGCTACACTTCTTGGAGTTACTGCAAAGCTTTAGAAGAAGGTGTAACGGGGTTATGGTGCTGTAGTGAAGTAGGCTGTCACGTGTCGGGACGATGGCGCTAACCCATCGGGACGCTAGCGTGGTACGGGCGAGAGCGCATAGATAATCGGGCACACAATGGCCAGGAAACGGTAGCAATTAATCTTAGGGGACCACCCCCCCATTGTTACTAAGCTCGCTGTCACAGATACCCTTACAGAAGGACTTTTGCCTAAGTACAGACCGGGCAAGAGGTTTATGCAGGATAATGCCCATGTACACACCTCAAAGTATACCAAAAAGTGGTTGGAGAGTCATGGTATTTGGACCATTGAACATCCACCCTAATGTCCATCCCTGGGTCATGGGACACACCCCAAGGTGGGATGATTTTGCACTCTGGACCTTTGGATTGTCCCATCCGCAATTTTGAAAAGCTGTAGTCCATACACACAGATTAATGCCTACCATTACTCTAGGGGACCAGCCTCCAAATAGAATTTCTGCAATGTTGCTTATGTTGTAGATCTCTCCCTCAAGGTCATTAGTTGCCCCTCTGCCAGTTGATCCCTGTCCATTTGCGCATCAACAGCTATATTACTCATTTAGAGGTCTATAAGGGTAGTATCAGTAGCAAAGATAAACTTCCTGTTGTTGGAAGCTGTTTTGAATTTGGGATTGTGGGTGCTGGGAGGTCCGTCAGACAGAGAAGATGATGCAGAAAAGCCTCCTGCTATCACAAGAGGCTCTAACCATTCTAGGCTGCTGACATAACGCTGTACTAAACCTCTGCCCCACTCCCATCTTTAATATCTAAAAATAAATGTGGCGCTCTTTGAGCCTCTAACCCTGGAATGTGTCCTTTGTTGGCGCAGTGCCTCATGATGCCCTCAGGCGACAAGGCAGTACCTGCATTGTAGACTGTCAATAACCACTATGGATAAGGCAAGGCAAGTATTAGCACGAGGAGTTCCTCCTGGTGTGTGTAGATTGTACTGTACCCTAGCAGACTACGGTGGAGTCGCTCGTAGTACCCTCCATAGTCGCGTGCATGGCAGACCTTTGCTATTATAACTATGACTTTTGTTTGCAACGCGAACTCTCCTGTATGCATTGCTGAATTACCTCACCACGACGTGTTCGACGGAACCAAGAATGGAGTTTGATGTGGTGTCCGCGCATGGGCTAATAGTTATTACTACTAGATATGTGACGGTTTATGGAGTAAAGAGGTCATGTCTGCCACGTGTGCTGGTGCAGTGCTCTTGCCTGTTCCAATAGCACTTTCTGTCTGAACGACAGATACGTCATGTAAACAGACCCTGATGGCCCGGTGAGAGAGACAGAACACTGAACAACAACACAACAGAATATACTGATTTTACTGCTTCGCGTGGTTACCCCTGACTTACTGCCCTGCGCGGTTACACCTTCACTTATTCATTTACTGCAACAGGATAGAGCGAAACGTTCTGGAGTAAACGAATGACTGAATTTGCAGATTAACAACAAATGAGTGGACGGCTCATACGCTTGAGCCTTATTCAAATGAACCCCACAATCTCATCCTCCTTCCACTCTACCCCTACCGCCTTGATTGGTGTAGTTAAGCATACGCCAGTCCCAGCACTTCTTGTCCAAATCGACCGGGCCACCTCCCCTACTAGTGTCGACATCCAAGCCTACTACCGACGCTCACGGTCTAACATTCCAGTCTCCACGAACGAATGCTATACCTGCGGTCGGTCCCATAAACCACAGGCTCACACAGATTGGTAGTGCGCAGATTCATCCTTGCTGTGCCCGAGCAGTCATTGCTTGTCCAACCTCGCACTGTGAGTAGAGTCAGCGAGACAAAGGGTCGATTAACGAGATCTTCGCTAAGCGGATGGCATATAGTTATAACTTACTCACGCAGCCTGGGTCAATCTGCTTAAGTCGAATAGCATGCGTGGAATCAACTCTGTAGTTGCACACGTCTCGAGCCGCAGTTCGATCAACGCCTGGGTTCTGGCAGTCGGCGTATCTGTAGTTGTTGAAGATTGTTGTCGCGTGGGTGACAGGAGCCATAAGGGCGAGAATCATACTGGTGATGACGCTGATCTTCATCTTGATGAGTGGTAAAGCTAACTTTGTACTTGTCGTGTCTGCTGCTGAATGCGTAGATGTGGATGCCTCGCTGAATTGTGGTGATGCTGGAGAGGCTGATGCCTTGTTATTTATACCACGCGTGAGGGCTCTGTAGAGTGGCAAATAAGACCTCTCGATGGATCTTACTCTTGGCTTCAAGTTCGTGTGGGCGGCTCTTGCCTTATCAAGTCTATGCTCTGGTCTGCCAATAAGTAATGCGCCGTCCACCATACAGCTACAGGCATGAATCACAGTCGAGAAAGCTTTAAGTCTGGCAGACAAGACCGCTCGATGGGGTTCAATCTTAGCTTCGGGTTAGTGTCGGCGGCTCTTACCTCATCAGGTCTATGCTCTGGTCTACTGCCAAGCGGCAGCAGCAGGCAATAGGCGTAGTGCTTACCAAATAATGAATCGTCGGTTGTGCTTACGTGCAAGGGTTTGGCCGAGATTCACACACATGAATTGAGTCCACAAGCATACCTGAGCAGTTTCCAATGTGCCGCATATCAATGCATGCACGCAACGAAGCATACGTTCACGAAGCAATATCATTCAACTCGGTCTAAGCTTACTTTACTGTGACACAGCGCGCAGCCTTCTATGAGTCTCGTTCATGCGCTCTCCATAAATGCTGACATTCGCGCCAAAGGATACTAGTGATAAAAATCCTAACCATAGGCATAGCAAGGCTAGCGTTCATCAGCCCCGCCTAGGACTTAACAGCGTCATAGTACTGTTGATAGGAGCGAGGAGACTCTAGATTAATACTGTACACGAAGTCTGTTGTTTACCTTCCGCACAATCTCAACTAACGGTAACTGGCGACCTTTGGGTCGAGAATCGAAAATGACCTCTAATCGAACCGATCGCCAGCAAGCTAATGACGACCTGCTGTCCAAACCCCCTAAAACAAACCATCGCAAGATACTTGATAATCTCCTCGACACCGTGCGAAAGCAGAAGGAGATTATGGGACACCTCCTTAGAGATCTAGAATTTTTCCGCAAAACATTCAAGACCTCTTTGGAGTACGACAGCGGCGCAGGAGACTATCGCGAGGAGACAGCAGACGGGACAGAATTTGATATCAGATCTAGTACGGATGCTGGGGATGGAACAATCAAGGAAGAGACAGTAGTGGACTATATCGGGTACAGAATTGCTATGGACAACTTTCAACTAGGTTTTGATAAGACGAAAAACCGAATTGAGGAAATTTGGAAAGATGTTGATGTGGACAGGGGTTCCCTAAAGATGCAGAAAGTCTTTGTGGATAGTCTTGAGAAAGGTCGCAAGGCTGCAACCCAAGAGTAATAAAATATGTTGTGTAAAGGACATTTATTTCCATTGGTGCTGACCAAGATCGGTTTCTGGTTCTTGTATATTACACTTCTGGACGCTTATCAGACATTTGCTAGCGCTCGGTAGCCCCTGCACAGCGCTAGTAGCTGTCAGGTAAGGGCCTTGAGAATAATCTCGGTGCGCGAACCGGAAGTCGATTTTGGTCAACACTGCATCAGAACAGTGCTGAATGCTCAGTTATGCTATTGACGGATGTGCTCACTTGCAGATGCGTTGATGTCATCGCTCGCAGTCTCTTCGGGTTAGGCTGTCATCTTGTGTCAGCACAGTCACAAAGCTGCATAGCCACATGAGCCAGCTTCTTAGCTCGGAGTAAATTACACGCTACTCTTAATATAGGTGCGGGGTCAGTCTCGCACTAGTCGCATTAGGAAGCTGCTTTGATCTCAAGTACAAGGGGCGTGCCTCAGCGGGTTGGAATACGAGGGGCCCACAGAATCGCATCAAAGCATCTTTGATTACTTAGTAATCTCTATACAACCCTAGACTCTGACATGCCTCAGAATGGTGTATGACCCCCTGAGGACCTCAGGACAGCGTCACATCGCTGTCTCATGTTTTTACAGTACTTTTGGATGTCTCCAAGCGTGATTTTGTCCCACTCCTCCTTAATAGCTGCTACTATGCTCTGCTTAGAGTATGGGTAGTGCTTTTGCACCCATGCCTTCAGCAACCTCCACACGTTCTCAATAGGGTTGAGATCTGGTGAATTGGCTGGCCACCAGAGGAGCCAAATAGCTCTATCATGAAAGGTCTTCTTAGCTGCCAATGCCTTGTGAGGACTAGCGTTGTCTTGCATAAGCAGAGCGTTGCTAATCCCTACGCAAAAGATCTCATGCTCCATCTTGAAGCTCTCAATCAATGGGATAACCCTCTGGGTATAGGACTGTGAGGTCAGAGTACCCCATTGATCAGTATTGTGAGAGGGGGCCAGCTGAGGATACCAACTGCTCTCTGAGATGGAAGGATTGGTGGAAGGATGGTTCAGGCTTGTTGGAGATAAAGGTGTAGAAAAGACCAAGTGTGGGGATACCACAAGTGGTAAAAAGGATAAGTGATAAAGAAGGGATCAAGTGTGGGGATACCACAAAGGATCAGTGAGGAGTGAGTTGAGGAAGGAGTTGCTGAGGTGAATTAAAGGAGTGGATTGAGTTTGAAATTGCAAGCATGAGTTATCTGAGCAGGAGAGCAGGCTGCCTTTATAGACAGACTGCTGGCTCCTGGAATGTTCTAGATACATTGGCATTTGTAATCATTTGTAATCATTTGTCAGCAACCAGAAGATTCTGTGTTGTTCCATGGGATTCCATGATGTTCCATGAGGTTCCATGAGGTTCCATGAGGTTCCATGAGGAGTGGCTGGGTGGATTGTTATTGGCTGCAAGCCATGTCAGGATGACAGCGTAGCTGTCAATGGCATACTTCAACTCAATGCCACGCTTGAAGCAGTCATGATAGTGTAACACCTACAACCATATCCGCCCCAATACCAATGTGGTTCCTGCAGGTCTCAGCACACCGCTCCTTGTCTGTCACAAACTACCTCCTTGTCACCTGGACAAGGGTACTTCCAATTCCCCTCTGAATGGGATACTTAATGACTCCAATACTGTAGTTTAGATAGAGTAGTTTTTCTGTATCCTTTTGTACAAGACCTATAGGTGTAGGGAATTCAATCCTAGTGTTCTCAACGTCCCAGCACTCCCAGATGCCTTGTAGCAGACTCACACTTACTTCTGAGCCATTTCCTACCTACCTGCGTCGTTACAAATCTCAGTTGAGCAACTTGGGCAGTTAGGCCGCGTCAGTATACTTGGTACAAGCTGTATACTCAATACCAAGTGATCTGAGAAATCCTCCTGCTAAAGTATATAACAAGATGACACGCTGCCCTTATGGCATTGTGTTCAACCTTGTCAATCAACTTTGTTATTGGAATCTCACTTGCTCTTGAGCTAGACAGTATACTCTGTACTACCCATTGCAACCAGTTGTCACAGTCTCTGGCTAGACAGCTATTACCTTGACTATTACAAAGGCTACTACCACCTTGCCCAGATAGTCTACCCCTGACCACCCAAGCCTTGTTCAGGTGACTGTCAACCCCTACAGACTCCCTGTACCTCTGCTCATCCCCAAGAACCAATCGAATAGTGTCTACAAGCTTTGCTTAAGGCACGACTTCAACAGCAGCATAGGAACTTGGCAACTTTGATGCCCAAGGCTTCAGGCAAGCCGCTGTAGTATGGCTTTGTTACGATCCTACGTCCCACGATAGGACAACAGGCAATAAGTAACCACCAACCAAACACAGAAGCCTGGGGGAAGGTGCAGCAAGGCAAGGCCGCCCGGCCGGCGCCTAGGGGATTGCTCTCAGCCGAGCTGACACACGTGACGGAGCTCGTCAACAAGCAATGTCACGTGAGTGCTCGTCAACGAGCATGACGTGATGCTCATCAACGAACATGGTACGATGCTCGTTGACGAACCGCAATCCATCCGGATTGGCCAGGACCAACTCTGCTCGTCAACAAGCAGATCTGGTAGACTGTATATATATGTGTAGGAACACAACCCTTATGGTTCGTGTTCAACCTTGTCAATTAAGTTGTCATTGGATCTCAACCAACTTTCGAGCTAGACAGATTGCCTGTACTACTCATCATTACCCCAAGCCGTCGTTAGGTGTTTCACCCAGGCAACTTACCCCTACTGTTCCAGTACCAGAGCTCATCCTTGAGAACCAATCGAATAGTACTTACAAGCTTTGCTTAAAGTACGACTTCAACAGGCTTGTTGAGAACAACAGGCCTCTGCGTGAATTCAAGACAAAGTCCTTCCACAATACAATCAGGTTTGCCAACCCAATGGCAGAGGCAGCATTGTGGACATCTCACAACAGCGTGTCTGTCACGGGTATTTCCCCTTACATGTACTGGCCAGCCCTTGGACAGACTCTGGAGCTGGACCAGAGGCTCACAGGCCACCTGTATATATTCCTCACAAACCTTGAGGCTCAGCCATCAAGGATTTGTCTAATCTCATCCCATTTGGCCCTAGACAGCCCCAATCCATCCTGTATCCAATTGCATGCCTACAGTGACCTCACAGTGTCAAAGTTTGTTATGAGGCTCTATAGTTGGCTACAACCTCAGGTCAAGCGCTTGCTGTCCAAAGCCTCTAGTAAGATACACATAAGCTTTGATGGCTGGACATCCAAAGGAGGGAAGCATGGTTTCTTTGTGGTTTGTGCACACTATGCTGACCACAAAGGCAAGGTGTTGACCTTCCTATTGCACTGCTCCAGTTACTTAGCGCCCACACGGGTCTTGCTATTGCAGAAACAGTCACCCAAGTCCTCTGCTGCTTTGCTATTTCCGGCAGCAAGTTGGGCTACTCTATAATTGATAATGCCTACAACAATGACACAGCCATCAACAAACTCAGCTCTGTGTATGGCTTCTGTGCCAGCAATCAACGCCTCCATTGCGCTTGCCACATACTCAACCTTGTTGGCCAAACTATTATGTTTGGCACTGACTCTGACTCCTATGATAATGCACCTGAGAACCAAGGCAAAGAAGAGTTTTTTATGAAGCAATGGCAGACAGATGGCCTGCTTGGAGTGTTTCTTGATATTGTCAATTGCATCAACACACCAAAGCTGTAACAACGCAGGTGGGTAGGAAAGGTTTCCAAAGTAAGTGTGAGTCCACTACAAGGCATATGGGAGTGCTAGGACATTGAGAACACTAGGATTGAATTCCCTACACCTATAGGTCTTGTACAAAAGGATACAGAAAAACTACTCTATCTAAACTACAGTATTGGAGTCATT